TCACAACCTGCATCTACCTTATGTACGGGCATTCCAGAATGGCAGTAATATAGGGAAGATAAAGGCACACTCAAGACTTTCATCAGGACATCTATGGAAGACTCATACTATTGTTTCTGTGAACAGAACCTGCGGAAGATTGTCAATAGGATTCATTTTTTAGGATCATCAAACAAGATTTTTCAGATGGAGTTATAACTAAGGGCGATATGAAAATGCATTGAAAAGACTTCCATTTGGGCTACTTACATTGCTTACCCTCAAGAACAAGTTGCTCAAGAATAATAGACTCGGTTGCCTCTCACAACATCGTGTGTGCATAAAAGTTGTCCCAGAATTTATAAGAGGTAATTAACAATTTTTAGTCACTGGAACTACAAACTGCAACCCAGCTTTTTCTCTGTCATCTTAACTACATGTACTCTTATTTCCTGCAAATCTCCTTCTGCAAACTGCAGTGGTCAAAGAACTAAATACTAGTGTTAATTTTTTCGCAAATTGGTCTTTATTAGGAGATCTGAAGTCTTGCATGTGACTTATGAGAAATGGTTTTTATTACTTGAAAGGGAGTGGGACCATGGCGCAGTGGTAAAGCTGCTGCCTTGTGACCAAGAGGTCACGGGTTCAAGTCCTGGAAACAGCCTCTTACAGAAATGTAGGGAAAGGCTGCGTACTATAGACCCAAAGTGGTCGGACCCTTCCCCGGACCCTGCGCAAGCGGGAGCTACATGCACCGGGCTGCCTTTTTTTTTTAAAGGGAGTGGGACCATCTTGCAGATCAGACAGCCCAGCAGAGGACCGCATCACTGCGGCTTGGTACCATACCTTTCTCAACACTTGGGCCATTAAATACTGCATTGTTCAGTAATAAAAACAAAGACAGAATTTTATATGTAATTCTTACAAACTAGCAAAGCACACAAGAGCGGCATATCCTTACTCTGTGCTTGGAGCCCATGTCATGCTTCATAAAAATTATAGATTGCATTAGAATTACTTGATTGTCTCAATAAGAACAAGAGTGATGTGTCGTAGAGTTTCAGAGAATTTCATAGAATAACATGTCTCAGTGGAATGCACTACTGAAAGTTTCCAGATCATATAATGGTATAGAATATGTAAACACCCAGCTTGAATGTTTATTAGCTCAGGGGATTATATCAAACTCGCATACACACCGGAACAAATCAGGTTAGCGGAAAGGTAAAGGAGCATATGCTAGATGTTGCTCAATGTTTGATGCTTCTGATGAATTTTCCAAAAATTTACAGGGCAAAACTACACTTGTACAAGTATAAGTAGGAGGTATAAGAGGCAAATACATGCTCAAAAAATGAAAAATATATGCAGAAAACGGTAGGTCAAGTCAGATATAAAAGATTTAGTGGAAAGATGCATGTGTACCTGTGCCTCGAAGAACCGCGGCATGCAACGCATTCTGTCCATTAGGCCCGGAGTAGGAAAGCTACATGTTACTTGCACTATAAAGTGTCTCAGCAATGATGTCCTCTTCCAGCAAGATAGCCAGGTACAGAGGTGAAGTGCCGTCTTTCGGAATACTGGCCAACTCTGAATTTTCCTCCATTAGCAGCTTGACTATGTCATTATCCCCAATATGGACTGCCTGATGCAATGCTGTCTCCTTAAGCTTGTTCTCCATTTCCACGAATTCCTTCACTCTGTTAACACTCGTACTCTCATCTCTGGCCAAACTAATGAGATGAGAGACCATCCGGAACATCCCAGCTCGTGCAGCACAGTGCAGGGGCGTGTCGCCGTTATTGTTTTGCGCAAACAGAAGGTGTTTTGCCTTGCTATGGATGGTGTCCACACTCCTCAAGAAGCCATCACTGTCGCCATATGTGGCCACCACATGGAGTACGGTGCCCCCTTCAGTGGTGACTCCATCCAGGAGTGACGGCACAGTTGAAGGCAGGTTAAGAAATGCTTCGATATCATCGGAAACTCGCTGCGTTGACGCGCTTTTGTTGATGCAGCTGTCGGAGCCGTAGGCCATAAGCAGGTCAAGAAATGCTTGACTAGGCATAATGGAAGGTTGCACTTGATCGATTCCCCTGTTGAGCAGAAACTCCAAGTCCTGCCAAGAGCCAGAGCATGCTGATGATAGGAGCAGGGGGTTCATGATTACCAGGAGGGGTTCTGCAGTGGATTCATGGATGCTGGAGGCCATCACCGCCACAATCGTTGCTGAATCTTCCTTGCTCGCCAGATCTTCCACTGCCACTGAATTTTGCCTCGGAGAGCAAAACTAGGAGGTTCCTCAACAAGATCACTAGTTCACCACCACTGGGTGCAAGCTCTCCACTTCCTGCACAAGTTGGATGCTTAGTGTATGATGGCTGCCCAAGTCGTCTTCACCCCCACCCTGCGATGAGAATAAGTCGTCGTCTTGATCCAGATCAACTAGTTAATTCTGCAGGCAAACGAACTATTTAATTTGATATGCTCCAATTGAAGTACTAACAGCAGATACTAGTGGCTGAATGCTGATATAATATGCTCTGATACAAGTTGCTGCTATAATATGCTATATGCTCCAAACGAAGTATTCAGCTTTGTCGTTTCTTAGTGATCTTGCGCTGCAATCATGCCCACTAAAAAAAAAGGTGGAGACGGACAGATTGCAGATGCTAACTAGTCGCAAGATTTCAACCAATTTTGGATTCCTACGGAATTTGTAGAGAGCAAACAAAAGGTGGGAGGGACTTATCAATTCGCTGCTAGGCGTACGGATTCCCAGCAACCGTAGGCGCGAACATGCCGGAGGCCGGACGCGGAGCCTGACGGGGCCGGCGACTTGCGGCAGGCTGGGGCGGCGGCGCCGGAGCGTCAGCGCAACGAGATGCGCCCAGATGCGGCCGTATCTCCGCGTGAGGCGTGGGGAGCGGCAGGGGGAGGCGAGGCGACGACAGCGTTTGCAGCCGGCGGAGAGGCGCAAAGTTGCTAATTTGGTGGACGGCGGCGTGCTGGCCGAGTGGGGAATCTCCGGGAGTAAAATGCCACATTGGTCCATGAACTAGTTTAAGATGCGCACTTCAGTCCATTCACTCTAAAATTGCAGTCTAGTCCATAATCTTGGTGCAAGTGATACGATTACGTCCAAAACGATTCTCAGAGATGGGAGGTGCTGACGTGGCATCCACGTGTGAGTGGATTTTTTTTTTTGCGAGGAGTTTTCAGTGAAATTAACAACATGTCCTAAGCTCGAACTACTTTTTGGTCATTTGCTAACTTTTTAACCACAAACTAACAAGTACTACGTCATGTGGAACATCAAAAGAGTGCATCATGTACGGCATGAAGATGCTTTCGGTTTCCACTTGCTATGAACACAACAAACAACGTACGCACAGATGCTCAATGCATCTCGACGAACCGGCTAATCATCCGATCAATCATGCACCCAAGTCCTACACGGTCAGCAACAGTACAGGCCAGACAACGTCATCTACCCGGCACTGAATTCCACAATGCTTTCCTATTCCTACCATGTCTGATGTTTGCACGGCTTTGCCTTGGGGACTTGGCAATCTTACAACTTTTAAAACGAGTGTTTGTGTAAATATGCCTCCCAGAGGGTACTTCACTCATATATTAGTTGTTGTGTACAACTGTCGTCTTGCTCACAGTTAGAGTAACGTGTTCACTTAATGTGGTGCAACAACCATGTCGAACATGTTAGAATTATGTCGAATATAGTGTACAAGGTAGGTTACAATTGAACTTGTAGTTGTATTGCGTTTAGATAGACTATGGAGTCGTGTCCTAATAGGACACTTGTATCCTAGGCCTCTCATATATAGTGGGGGCTAGACACACGATGTAACCTATGCCAACATAATAGCACAGGAACGCGAGGGAAGCCGGCGGCATGTGCCGGCGTCTAGGGCAACCGGGTGCGGTATTATAGCGGTGTCATGGGAAGGAGCGTCCATAGTCAAGCCTCGGGGATGTAGCCATGATGGTGAACCTCGTTAACAAATCTTGGTGTCATGCTTGTGTGATTGTTTGTCCTTGAATGATCAACGGTATGTCTCGAATTTACTCTAACGAGTGGTATAATGAGCAATGTTCAATTTGAGGTTGTGGATAGTTGATCTGGAGGAAGCGATCGGAAGGCGCGTGTTCTTGTAGCAGCATCAGGCGAGACGTGCGGCGGTCGGATCGATCGGGCGAGTGTATTGCAACGGCGGAGTCGGATTAATCGGGGCATGTGCGAGTAAGCGGCGGCGGCGCACGCGGCCGAAGTTCCAGGGCAGGCAGAGGCGCTGTGCAGCCACGCACGCGTGACCCAAGCCTAGCGGGTAGCGAGGGGCGCAGCCCGGGTAGTTTGTGGCACTTGAATCCAAGGCTCGGGCGTGCAATGCTAGAAAGATGCTGGAAGCTACAAGGCGTACCAGATTTGTTTTGAAAAGAAAAAGAGGACCGAGTCCTTATTTGACACAAGGAGACAAGTGGCAGATTGATTCAGCGGAAGGAAAACCCATTGATACATGAGGGACGCATCCATCGGAATTGAGTAAATAGCATAAAACTACTACTTTACAGGCTAGGGTTCCAAAAAACTATCGGTTTTAAATTTTTCACTGATAACTATCAACTCAGGGGTCGGCTATTTCAAAAAACTCTAAATGTCCATTGCTTAAAAATTAAACCTGTTTATGACAGATCGGGCCACACCTAAACATTCCGTTTATTTGACCGTGTGTTTGACCGTTAACTGATATGCAGGGCCCACATGTTAGTGCCTGAAAAAGCAATCAAGTCCCTGGAAGTTTTCTAAAAAAGCAATCGAGTCCCTGGAAGTTTTCAAAAAAGCAATCAGGTCCCTAGATCCAGAGGAGGCGCAACCACCATGGCAGGAGCTCGATCTCGAGCGCTCTGCCTCCAGCCGGCGAGCCGCGCCCACAGCGGCGGAATCCACGCCGTGCACCACCTGAGGCCGGCGAGCCGCACCCGCAGCGGCCGCCATGCCGGGCATCACCTGCAGCGGCGAGCCGCGCCCGCAACGGTTGCCATGCCGTGCCTCACCTGCGCCGCGGCCACGCCATGACTCGCGGCTCCCGTGCCTCGCCTGGGGCTGCCGCCACGCCATGACTCGCGGACGAGGCCGGCCTCGTCACCACCAGGAGCTCCGGCTCGGGTAGAAGGGTCGCCGGCTCGGGGGGGATGGGGGAGGGTCGCCGGCTCGGGGGAGAGGGTCGCCGGCCTGGGTAGGGAGGGGGGTCGCCGGCTCTGGAGGGGAGGAAGGTCGCCGGCTCAGGAGGGGAGATGGCCGGGACGGGAGACACAGGGGGAGGGAAGAGAAGAGATGGAGAGGAAGAAGAAACTTACATGTGGGCCCCACATGTAAGTTAACGGTCAAACTAAGGTCAAACTAACGGTGTGTTTACATGCGGGCCCGACCTGTCATAATCGGTATCAACTGATAAAGACTCAACAATTTGGGTTTTTTGAAACAGCCAACCCCTGAGTTGGTAGTTATCAGCAAAAAAATTGAAACCGGTAGTTTTTTGGAACCCTAACCTGTAAAGTAGTAGTTTTATGCTATTTACTCATCGGAATTAGCAAGGCAGGGCAAAGCAATTAGCCTAGCAATCAGAGTTGAGCCAAGACATGAGCTGCTACAAGTGAGGACCAGAAGGATTTTTTTGGTTGGATTGGCTAGTAGTATGCGGAAGACTAGAGGTTCTGTTCGTGTACTTGGGGCATCGTGTGTAAAGCTCGGATAATTTTTTGCAGGGTCAGCCATACAAAGGACTATGGCACCAACGGGTATCAGGTTTGAGGTGGAGAAATTGACTGGACTGGAAACCTTGGGTTATGGCAGACAAAGGTGAAAGATTTGTTGGCGCAATAGAGATGCTTGAAGGCGTTGCGGGAAGTCATGACAGCTGAGACGGAAGTATCATGTGATGGATGGGAATTCGCGGAAGATGATTTGGGAGCCTCGAGCGTGTCATGCAGCCCGATAAGTTCGGCTGGGTCGGACTAGGTAGTCTGACGGATCGATATAAGTCGGTTGATACAGAAGATGGTGGTGGGATTGGCGACGACGACATAGGTGTGTGGTGCTGATGGTGACCGACTTCTGGGCGTGGAAACAGGTGGCGCAGGCCCGAGTGCTTGTGTGAGTTCGACAAGACTATGGCACGGGGTTGATTCAAGGTGGTGTACACATGGAGCTTGAAGTCAACGGGGCACGAGGGTGGACTGATCATCTACCATGGAGTCATATTTAAGGTGGAGCTGGATTGAGGGGCTACGGCGTAAGGATCCAGAGAATCGAAGCATGTTTCAGCTGGAGAAAAGCGAGTGACACGTAATTCGGACTGGAGCCTAGTGGTCCGATGGAAGCGTAAAACTCGTCATTGGTCGGTGATGATCGATGTTACTCTGCAGTGGGGGTTGAGTGGTGTGGGTTCGCGACCCTTGAGACTCGACGAGGACAGTGGAGGCTCGATGTAGTAATAGCGGCGAGGCGCGCGGTACGCATGGGACATGGAGACGGACCAGGGCTCTGGTGGTCATACATGTGGTGAGACAACTGTGAATTTGACTCGAGATGACTACACGCAACATTGAAATTCCCTCAAATTTCAGACAAGCAGTCAAGAAAGGAGCGGTGACGTTGAGTTCAGATAACTCTTATGTGTGACACCCAATATGTGAGTTGTTCACTTTCACGCAGGTCAGTGATCAGTGTGTGATGGCGTTGTACTGATGCTCTCGAAGTTGGGAGCGCAAACTAGAGTAATGTGGAACTTAATTTGCTCGAGTGTTAACTGCGGTCAAGAAAAGAAGGGACTACAAGTTGCAAGTGAAGTCAGATGGAGTCTTTGGAGTAGCAGCGGTACTCATGGGATAAGCTCAAGTCCAATGTACATGGAAGTTTGATGCATTGACAAACTCAAGGTGGTGGAGAATATTCACCAAGGTGGAGTTTGTTAGAGTTGTGTCGAATATAGTGTTACAGTTGGACTTGTAGTTGTATTGTGTTTAGATAGGATATGGAGTCGTGTCCTAGTAGGACACTTGTATCCTAGGCCTCTCATATATTGCGGGGGTAGACACACGATGTAACCTATGCCAACATGATAGCACAGGAACGCAGGGGAAGCCAGCGGCATGTGTCGGCGTCCAGGGCGACCGGGTGCGGTATTATAGCGG